CAAGTGCCGAGTTGGGTGAGGCGGAGCGCGCTGGGCCTATTTTTGGATTCTGTTCTGGGTTTCTAGGGTCCCTAAACCCTAAACCCTAAACCCTAAACCCTAAACCCTAAACCCTAAACCCTAAACCCTAAACCCTAAACCCCCAGTGCGGCGTTGGGATATTGGGATCTTTGTGGATTGAGCTGACAGGCAACGGAACTGGGGTTGCAATTGTAGAATTCGGAGTGAAGTCTAGACCCCCACCTAATTTCCCTTCATAGCGAGAAACCCCAAATCCTAAACCCTTGATAGACCCTAAACCCTAAACCCAGAAAACTCGAAACCCCAAACCCTTCAAAAAAACTCCGTGCGCAAGAAAATCTGCCAGTATGTGGGTCGAACGCAGGGCTCACAGTGGGTGTGTCAGGTGCATGGTGGCTCGTCTCCCGAATCTCATGAAATCTTCGACCGAGCTGAGTGTTGCCCTCGGGCGGATCACGTCCTGCAACATCAGCGAGAGGTTAGAGACATCAGTCCACGGGGACTTGCTGAAGAGCTTGCGGGAATCGACTGGTGCCACACTACACACTTGAGAGGCCTGGATGCAGCTGGAGAGGCTGGGTGCGGACGTAGATTCCGTTGGGAGTGTCGACTTGTTCGACAAGGACAGTCTGTTCGAAGCCCTCAAGGATCCCAAGCTGCTGTCGCGTGGCCGACTGGTCTGGCAAGCAATCGGGCTGTTTCCGTACTCCGCTGTACTCCGCATGGACCACCTGTCGGGACTTGTCAAGAACGACAGAAACTCACACTACAAGATGCAGTCCGATGCACTGCTCCAGGTCATGTCTGAGTGCCATTCCTGGGAGAAGTTTGCACACCAGCTGTTCCACAACTTTGATGACGACGTGCAGTTCATCCTGTTCAACCTCAGTCGCTTGGTGGAGATGGACATGGCAAACCTGTGTTAAGGGGCTGCGACCATGGGCGGGCAGCGCAGGCAGAAGCTCGAGGAGAGTTGATCTCTTTAAAGCTTTTAAAGGCTGCCACGAATGCCGCTGCAAGAGGCGTCGCCCGGGTCGGCGGATATACCTCGTCATCTGACAAGCTTGGGTGGCACAAGATGCCATTCGCAAAAGCACACAAGCCAGCTCGCTGTGCTATTCGGCACTCGGTGATGGCATGGTCCTTCTTCCGGGAAGCCCCTAGCAGTGGAGTCTTGACTTCCGATGACGGCCGGCGGAAGTTTCGAGAGCTGGATGTGCTTATGTGACAAGAGATCTTGTGCACGGCCTTTGCCTTCCTCGGTGCGAGTTTCTTTGCTGACTTTGGTCTTGTGGAGCAGACTCTGAAATGGCCGGGGGGGGGGGGGGGGGGGCTTGAAAGGACGTGCTGAACGACACTGTCGGTGGTTGGGTCGTCAAACTGAGGACAACGCACTCGCGCATGAGAAGCGCCTTCTCCAAGAGCTCATCTGTTCGGAGAACGTGTCGTCTCGAAGCATGAAGAAGATCACACGGATTCGGAAAAGGGAGACATGCCGGCAGTACTGAGTCCGAGTTAGGAGCCCGCTGTAGAAGGGCTGTCCGAACTGTGCAAACCTGCATCCTATTCGAGCCGGGGCCGCGTGCTCCGGAAATTCCTCTGAGCGCTGCAGTGATGCAATGTTGGCAGAAATAAAAAATGCATGCTGCACGTATCTGCGTCCAACACTGGGTCGATCAGAACCTCAAGCCCTGACCCAAAGACCGAAACCTTAAACCCTGACCCCACCCCATTCCTAAGACAGGTCCTTGGCAGCGAGAAGAGCTGGGCACCCATCGACCTCACGCTGCCGGACCAGCAGCAATAGGATGTGCACATCTGGCATGGCCAGGGTAGTAGAGGGTTTAGGGCTCTAAAGGGTGGTGTTGGGCAAGGTGCAGGTAGGCATTCGTGTTTAAGTGTTGTTAGGAAGGATGTCCTCTTCGATATCGATTTAAAACCCTGGGTCTCATTGTGGTGAGTCCTAACATGACCGTGTGCTCTTCACTCGGCGAGCGCTTTTGAACGGATTCATATTTTGTGAGTTTCCGAAATTAGGGGTACCTTGTTGTGGTCCTTATGATAAGGGAATCCTACTGTTTGGGGGTTAATATTAGGCCCCCCGTATTTTCGTAAACTCCCATATCCTGTCTGCTAGCAGCGGCCAGAGGTCCTGAGTGAGGCAGCCTTGAACGATAGGCTCAAGCCAACCCATGGGACTTGCAGCACACACCTCTCCCGCTTGAGCCTCTTTCGGGTACTATTCATTCCCTTAAAAAACCAAAGAAACAACCTTGATTTACTCAGTCCGAAACCGTAAACCTAAACCCTAAACCCTAAACCCTAAACCCTAAACCCTAAACCCTAAACTTTTACAGTTCTCGGACGCAGGACAACCCTTGGCAACGCGCCTCCGCGCGCTTGTCAACGGGCAAGGGCCTCGTCCTTCTCGATGGGCAGCCGTTGAAGTGTGCCACTTGGAAAAACCTTGGGACTTGTTCTTGGGTTTCAGGGTTTAGGGTTCAGGGTTTAGGAAAAATCTTGGGGCTTGGAAAAATCTTGGGTTTTAGGGTTTCAGGGTTTTAGGGTTTAGGGCTTAGGGTTCAGCATCTCAAGTCCAAGCATTCACTAGTCAAGAAATTACTCCAGAAAAGTACCCACCCGCCCAAAGAATCCCACAACGTTAAGAAATATATATATATATATATTTCACTTGTAGAACGACCTTGCCCAGTAAACAAAGACCTTGCCCAGTAAACAAATAACTTTGCCCAGTAAAAAATGACCTTGCCCAGTAAAAGAAATGACCTTGCCCAGTAAACAAGTGACCTTGCCCAGCAAAAAAAATGACCTTGCCCAGTAAAAGAGTTACTGGGCAAGGTCATTTTTGTTGCTGGGCAAGCTCGTTCGGTCCAAAAAACCACCTTGCCCAGTAAAAAATGACCTTGCCCTTGCCCAGTAAAAAAACGACCTTGCCCAGTAACTCCCCCAACATTTAAATGACATGTGAAAGAGAGGTTCAGGGTTCAGGGTTTAGGGTCTAGGGTCCAGGGTCTAGGGTCTAGGGTTTAGAGGTTCAACGGTGGGCTGTGTTTCTTTCGCTGGTCGCCAGGCCTCTTATGGGAGCCTACATGTCAACCGATATTATTGAGCCCTAGGGTTTAGGGTTTAGGGTCTAGGGTTTAGGGTTTAGCGCCTATTCGTATTTATGTACTATAAGCTTACATTGCAAACTTTTGTAAACTACCCGAGGTGCAAAAAACATTCAATGACAAAGGCACAGTATCAGGACAGACAGCACAAGTACTTCGAGCCGCACAGTGACAACCCCCTAAACCCTTCAACCCTTTAACCCTTGAACCCTTTAACCCTTGAACCCTTTAACCCTTTAACCCTTGAACCCTTTAACCCTTTAACCCTTTAACCCTTTAACCCTTTAACCCTTTAACCCTTTAACCCTTTAACCCTTTAACCCTTTAACCCTTTAACCCTTTAACCCTTTAACCCTTTAACCCTTTAACCCTTTAACCCTTTAACCCTTTAACCCTTTAACCCTTGAACCCTTGAACCCTTGAACCCTTGAACCCTTGAACCCTTGAACCCTTGAACCCTTGAACCCTTGAACCCTTGAACCCTTGAACCCTTGAACCCTTGAACCCTTTAACCCTTGAACCCTTGAACCCTTTAACCCTTTAGCCCTTTAACCCTTGAACCCTTTAACCCTAAACCTTAAACCCTAAACCCTAAAACCTTAACCAGCGTGGCAGCCTTCACCCTAAGCCCAGCCTGGCAGGCTGGAGAGATCTGCAGTATCAGTGACAGTGGCGATGGCACCAGCGGGGAGTTCACCTGAGAAGATGGGGGAGGATGTGGTTTTGGATTTAGGGTTTAGGGCTTAGGGTTCAGGGTTTCGGGTTAAGGGTTTTAGGGTTTAGGGTTAAGGGTTTAAGGGTTTAAGGGTTTAAGGGTTTAAGGGTTTAAGGGTTTAAGGGTTTAAGGGTTTAAGGGTTTAAGGGTTCAAGGGTTCAAGGGTTTAAGGGTTTAAGGGTTTAAGGGTTTAAGGGTTTAAGGGTTTAAGGGTTTAAGGGTTTAAGGGTTTAAGGGTTTAAGGGTTTAAGGGTTTAGGGTTTATGGTTGAGGGTTTAGGGTCTAGGGTTCAGGGTTTAGGGCTTAGGAATTAGGGTTTAGGGTTTAAGGTTTAGGGTTTAGGGTTTAAGCAGTTGGGATCACTGGCCCCGAGGGTTCGAGGAGCCGAACTTCGTGGTTGAGAAGGGCACGCCCTCAACCCAAAGGCCCTAGACCCCAGAAACCCGAAACCCCAAACCCCTCAACCCTCAACCTTCGACCCTAAACCCTAAACCCTAAACCTTAAACCCTAAACCCTAAAGCGAAACCCTAAATCCTAAAGCCTAAACCCCTCAACCCTAAACCCTAAAATCTAAAGGCCCCAAAGGCCCTGCGGGTTTCTTACGGGGACTCCCTCGACGTAGCTTGCCGGCCAAAGCCGCCACGGCGAGCAGGTGTACAGGTCGATTTGCGCAAGGGAAAAAACTCCCAGATTGTCTGGTGGTAGTGACTACCCGAAACCCGAACAGAAAAAGGCTAAGCCCTAAAAGCCCGAAAAGCCCTAAAAGCCCGAAAAGCCCGAAAAGCCCTAAAAGCCCTAAAAGCCCTAAAGGCCCTAAACCCTAAACCCTGAGCTGCCAGTTCCCCAACCAAGAAGCCCAGTAGGCCCAGGCGTCCCAATTGCAACCCCAAAAAGAGAAGCTCCTAAACCCTAACCCTAAACCCTAAACCCTAAACCCTAAACCCTGAGGGTTTAGGGTTTAAGTCGGGTTTCGGGTTTCGGTTTCGGGTATAAACCCTAAACTTGGGATGTTCCCGTCCTGAATAGGGATTCTCGTACCCCCTCCCGATTAGAATCCCTAATAAGGACTATGAGTATAGGGGGGAACATCACAACCCTAAACCCTAAACCCTAAACTACTCTAAGAGTTCAGGTCCTGCAACGCCCATCAGGATGCTGTGAGAGCCTCGGAACGTCCTCTTGAGCAACCAGAAGGGCTTAAGGTTTAGGGTTTAGGGTTTGGGGTTTAGGGTTTAGGGTTTAGGGCCACCGATTTGGGGTTCAGGGCCCTCTGTGCCAGAAGTCCTTACATAGGGCTCCCCCGAATGTACCCTTGGGGTTTAGGGGTTAGGGTTTAGGGTCACCCTCTTCTTCGTCGGAGCTCTGTGTCCTGAGAGGCCGCTCTCTGTGGGGCCTCGCCACGAGCTGAGCCGCAGAAGTACAGAACGATGCTGAAAGTTGAGGCTGGCACCAGATTGAGTAGGCATGATGGCCCGCTCTCATCAGCCCTAGGAAGACGTCAGAAGCATTGCACAACAGTAGTGCTCTTAGTGCTCAAGGCATCTGCCCCCATAATATACCCCCCAAAAAAAGTAACCCCCCTTTAACGGGACACCCACGCCCCCCTCAAGGGTAGCCCCAATTGTCGAGAGTTGCTCTGCGTGTGCTTCGGTCCACGAGATCCCAGAAGGCTGGCTCTCTCAACATGCGCCGTCCCTTTCTGCTGAACCTTGAGGGCTTAGGGTTTAGGGTTTAGGGTTTAGGGTTTAGGGTTTAGGGTTTAGGGCTTAGGGTTTAGGGTTTAGAGTATAGGGCTGACCCCCTAAACCCCAAGCCCTAGATCCTAAACCCTAAAACCCAGTGACCTTTTTGTTCTATGCTGAGGTCCGCGGCTATGTCTGCATACACGAGAGATGGGAAGGTCGACGTTTCCGGTGTGCTCCTCAGGGTTTGAGTCCGCATTCCAGGGTGAACCCCTAAAACCCTAAACCCTAAACCCTAAACCCTAAACCCTAAACCCTAAACAGCTGACACCCCACAACAAAGTAAACACCCGGGCCCTCCACCCCCAGCACCTCCACCCAAAGCCCTCCTAAGCCCCCAAACCCCAAACCCTAAACCCTAAACCCCAAACCCCAAACCCCAAACCCCAAAGCCGAACTTCTCAGCATCCCTCTGCCGAAGGTCACGAGTTGCGCGCCGAGGCGCGGCACCGCAACTTCGGCGTCTGGGAGCTTCTCTAGTCAGGGGTTTGTGAGGTTTTTGGGGCCTTAGGGTTTAGGGCTTAGGGAAGTTTAGGGGTTGAGGGTTTTGGGTTGAGAGGGTTAAGAGGATTGATGGTTCAGGGTTGAGAGATTAGGAAGTAGCATTCGGGTTTAGGGTTTAAGGCTCCCTTGAAAGTAGCTGTTCAAAGACACCCTGACCCCTAAAGCCCAATAATCCTAATGCCTAAGCCCCCAAAACCCTAATCCCCTTCAAGCACCTCAACCCTAAGCCCCAAAGGCCCAAAGCCTGAATCCCTTCAAAGGAGCCTTAGAACAATTCCATGACCCCCCCCCCCCCCCAAAGCCCCAAAGTACCTTTCAAGGCTACTTGACTTAAAGCCCCTGTTAAAAGCCTCAAGACAGCCCCCCCAAAATCCACATCGCCAGATCGCCGCAGCCTGGACCCCGGCACGATTCGAGCTTGGACTGGATAGGGTTCCGGGTTCAGGGTTTGGGGTGTAAGGTTTAGGGTTTAGGGTTTTGGGTTTAGGGTTAGGGTTTAGGTTTAGGGTTAGGGCCGTTTAGGGTTTAGGGTTTCATCTGCAAGTCCTACGATGAACGCACACCTGCTGCCTTCTTGACTTGTGCGTTTGCGCACATGCCCTCTCGAGCTTTCCATGAGCCTTCCATCAACTCTTGTCCTCTTGTTAAGAACATGAACCAAGTTTCCCAAACCAGGATGCAATATTGTATGCCCGCAACCTGTTCTGGTAGCTCGATTCAAATTCCTGAACAAAAACCCACAACCTACAAACGCCACGCATGGAATCCCAACACAACTTGCCAAAGTTGAAAGCACCTTGCAGTGGGAAAGCCCTCAAAAGCAAGGGTGCCATGAACTCACTTGGCCATGGCCCTAAGCCGAAAACCCAAGCTCAGGTTTTGGGTTCAAGGTTTAGGACATCCGAAAACTCTAAATCCTGGAGGCAAGTAGCATGATTGGACAATCGTAACTGGAACACCCTAAAAAACCCTAAACCCCCACCCCCCCTAACCTAAACCCTAAACCCAAACCCTAACCCTAAACCCTGAGGTTCCATGACATTCCTTGCGAGGTCTGGGATGCCGTTGCTGAACCTGCGGAGATCGTTTGGCGACGCAGCCCCCCCGGGAGCACTGCCCCCCAGCCTTGCCCTCCAAATCTCAAAACATGGGGGGGGGGGGGGGGGGGGGCGGGGTTGGGGTTTAAGTTTAGGGTTTTACCCTAAACCCTAAACCCTAAACCTTAAACCCTAAACCCTAAACCCTAAACCCTAAACCCTAAGCCTTCTCAACAAAACCATGCTAGGAGCAACATGAACTTTTCAGCTTTGAAATGACCTCAATCCACGTACTTCAGAGCTTGCGCTGGGGAGTAGGTAGTTTAGGGGTTTATACTTATTGGTTCTTTGTTGGGGCATGAGCACCATATGTTGTAGTCTAGGGGTTTATACTTATTCGTTCTTAGTGGGGAATGAGGGAATAGCAATTGAAGGTGTTTCTCTCCCTACAGCAGGTGTAGGGTTGTATAGGGTTGATAGCCCTAAACCCTAAACCCTAAACCCTAAACCCTAAACCCTAAACCCTAAACCCTAAACTTGCCCTAAACCTTAGGGTGCGTATAGGGTTTAGGGCTGTGGGTTTGAGAGCGCATGTAGGCAGCTGGGAGGGCCGTCATTGCTACTCAGATCGTGCCAGTCTGCTGCTGGGGTTTGGGGTCCCAGAACCCTGAACCCTAAACCCTAAACCCTAAACCCTAAACCCTAAACCCTAAACCCTAAACTGTTGTTCAGGGGTTGGGCTGAAAGCCGCTCCTGCCAGGCTGTCCGCCTGGCTTCGAACACTGTCTCAGGCTGATGGGACTGTGGGGGACAGATATGGGAGTTTACGAAATAGGGTTTAGATTTTACGGTTTAGGGTTTCAGGTTTAGGGTTTAGGGTTTAGGCTAGTAGATCCCCAAATAGTAGGATCCCCTTAAAATAAGGACCCCTAACAAGGCACCAATGAACACCATATGTTCCCCGGTATATTTACTTGTTGGACACATATGTTCCTGGTATATTAATGGTTGGAAGAAAGTTTCCTCAAGATGGACAAACAGACCGCAAGTATGGCTCAGTATAGACTTCGTATGTCTTCCTACTGTTTTCTTTTCCGCGGCCCTGCCTACATGAGGCCGAATCGAATTTTCGTCAAGTCTGGTCAACTAGGAAATTCGGAACCCCGGTATTCGTGGCCCCTGCCCCCCTCTCATGCAGACGAGACTCAGACCGTTCCCCAGAACACTCTCTTCGCTGACCCTAAACCCCAAACCCTAAAACCCTAAACCCTAAGCAAGCCCTAAACCCTGTATAAGTCCAAAACCCCAAAACCCTAAACCCGAAACCCTAAACCCTGAACCCGAAACCCTAACCCGATACCCTAAATCCCAAACCCTAAACCCCACAGCCTTAGCCCTTAACCCTAAACCCTAAACCCGAAACCCTAAACCCGAAACCCTAAACCCCAAACCCCAAACCCCAAACCCTAAACCCTAAACCCGAAACCTGAAACCCGAATCCCTAAACCCTATAAACCCTAAACCCCAAACCCTATAAACCCTAAACTCCAAACCCTAAACCTTAAACCCTAAACCCTAAACCCCTAAAACCCCTAAAACCTGTAAAAACCCCTAAAACCCCTAAAACCCTAAACCCGAAACCCTAAATCCTAAACCCTAAACCCTAAACCCTAAACCCTAAACCCTAAACCCTAAACCCTAAACCCTATACCCTAAACCCATCCAGAAGGCGCCATTCAGAACATGGCCAGCTCGGCGGTCGCCGGAGCCGCTCGTCCTGAATTGCAGGTCCAGTGAAGTTGAAGCATTAAGGGGTTTAGGGACAGGGTTTAGGGCTTAGGGTTTAGGGTTAGGGTTTCGGGTTTAGGGTTTTTGGGTTGGGGTTCATGGGGGGTCAGGTACCTAGGGAACCTGAGGGGAGCTTAGGGAGCCTTCGGGAGTAGTGGGGAGTATCAGGGAACCCTGGGTTGCACACCCCCCTTGAACCCCTGTCCTTAAGAACCTGATAATCATAGCTTAACTTATGGGTTCATAGTGGGGATCAGGGATTTGGGTGCCCTATATAGGCGCTTAGAGGCACGATATGTGGGGATAGAATGTACCCAATTGTTTTATACCTCTCGTCAGAAAAAAGGGTGGTTTGAGGGGCCTTGCTTTCCATTTGTGTTTTTTGTTTTTGTTCTCTCTCTCTCTCTCTCTTCCCCTTTCTCTGTTTCTGTGACTCTGTCCATGACCTGTCTCCATACATCGACCGACTGTAAATGGCTGAAGCCCTAACCCTTTCCAACCCAATCGCCGCAGCCTTGTCAGGTCCAAAACTGCGAGGGCCGGGGAGCCCAGCGGCTTCCGTCCTTCTGCTGCTTATACAGCTCTTAAGGGAGGGGGGGGGGGCTTCAAGGGCGGGTATAGAACCCGGAATACTCCCTACGCCCCCCTCCCCCATATAAGCTTCTGATCCTGCGGTGTGTTTCGGCACCTCCAAAACCCCGAGCCGAGGCAAATTTTAGAAGAGAGCGGCACCCCAACCTGCGATCACCCCTTCTAAAGGGGTTTATACGAAGTCACCCCTAATTGTGACCCCCAAATAGTAGGATCCCCAGTAAGGGTACCCCGAATATCGTAAACCCCCTTAGAATATGGGAACCCAAAACTAGGCATCCTTAAGCCAGCATGCCGAAGGCCGGCATTCACAGGACTTCCGCGTGACATGGGTGCCCTTAGCTGGATGTGGCAAAGGGTAGCGAGCGGTGACCAAGCGTAAGGCGCCTTTCGGGGTTTCTTTTTTGTTTCGTGAACACTCCTTAAATTCTAACGTGAGTACTCGCATGATGGTACCAAAAAGGTCCATACTATAGACGCCCCGATTGACTGCAAAGGCCGCCTTGCTTCCTTGAGCAGCGAAGTCAACGAGTCAGACGCCCAACGTGTGTTCCAAATCCAAGAACTTCATGTTGGGCTTTTGGTTAGGGTTTAGGGTTTAGGGTTTAGGGTTTAGGGTTTTTGGAGTTTGGGTGGAATGGTGGGTTCAAAGGGGTTTGGGCTTGGGGGGAGGGTTCAGTGCGCATGCTCATTTACCTTTCAGGGTTTAGGGATCTGGGCTTCGCAGTGGTCTGGGGTTCTGGTTTGGGGCTTAGGGTTTCGCGGCCGAAGATATGGCCAAGATATGATCCCTTCTAATCCCTACTCAACCATACTTTGGGATGTTCTCCCCTCTACTAACAGTCCTGAATAGGGATTCTGGTACCCCCTATGATAATGCCTATTAAGGACTGTTAGTATAAGGGGGAACGGTTGTCTGGTCTAGGGCTTAGGACATTCGTTGGGGCCGGCAGGCGTGGCGTCATGCTCAAGAGGGTTTGGGGTTAATTGTTTAATTAGGGTTAGGGTTTAGGGTTTAGGGTTGGGTTTAGGATTTAGGGTTTAGCGTTTAGGGTTTTTCAGCGCACCTGAAAACCCCAGACTCCAACGTTTAGGTTGGCCTCGCGCCTTGCGAGTATGCGCCTCAGCATGGGTAGTTGCACTCGGCTGCACCGCATCTATTCTTGGAGGGCTCAGGTTTTGGGCTTAGGTGTTGGGATTTTCTGGAGGGTGCCCGATTGACGATTGCGTTTTCGGGTTCCAAAGTGATGTTTGTATTGAAATAGGAACTTCTCAGAAGGGGACCCTTCACTTTGTTATAGTGGGGTAACATTTTACATTCTTAAGGGTCGAAAACTCACTAAGGAATCGAAATTCAAGTTGTTTAGGACTATCCCAACCATGAATCAGTTCAGATGATTGCCAACCTTGCAAGACCGAATGTTGCGGCCTCGAGTTGGTTAGACAGCAACTGCAGGTACGTCCTGGCGGTCCAGGGTGCTGCTCTACTAACCCTAAACTCTAAACCCGAAACCCTAAACCCTAAACCCGAAGGTAGCTGATTGGGCACACCTTACACTTTTGGGATACTATAGTCCCCCGATAGAACTGAAGGTGTACACTTTTCTTTTTTTTTTTGGGGGGGGGGGGGGGGGGGCTTGTGAACTTAACTCCCGGAGTAGGCCCTGGGGGTTTAGGGTTTAGGGTTTAGGGCTTATTCCCTTTTTGGGGGGCTTTAGGTTCCATTCTAATCCCCTTTAAACCACGAAGGGTGCTCTTTTGATACCTAGGTTACTCATGGGTCTAGTGCTGCCTGAGACAAGGTGATAAGAAGCTCGACACTTGAAGCGCTGAGCCCTAAACTCCTAACCTCCTACTTGAAGGTTCATGGGTACTTATAAGTAGGGTTAAAAGATGTTAAAAGTCTCCTAAGCAAGGTTGTAACCATAGTTACCCTACTTAGAACTCTACTTATAAGCACCCATGAACCTCCAAGTAAACCCTAAACTCCGAACCCCCACGCCCCAAACGCTTCAACCCTACACCCCTAAGCCCTAAACTACAAGAAACCCTAAACTGAGCCCTGAGCTCCAGACCGCTAAACCCGAAGACCTAAACTCCCAAAACCCTAAACCCAAGAACCCTAAACTCGTAAACCCTAAGCTCCGAAGCCCTACACTCCCAAACCCTAAACTCCTAAACTCCTAAACCCTAAGCTCCTCAGCCCTAAGCTCCTAAACTCCTCAGCCCGAAGCCCAAAAAAAACCTCAACCCTTTTCGCAGCTCGCGGCCCTGGGGCCTGCCAGAAGACCAGCGTGCACCCCCTGACCTCAACATGTTGAAGTCTAGGGTTTAGGGTTTAGGGTTTAGGGTTTAGGGTTTCGGGTTTAGGGTTTAGGGTTTAGGGTTTAGGGTTTAGGGTCCTAAGCCTTCCCCTAGAGGACTTCGGTTTACGCACCAGCCGCTGAAGGCCTCGAGCGGCAGCTTGCCCTTCGGGAGGCCGCTTTGCTGCGAGCTTCCAGCGCGTGATAGATTATGTATACGTACTATACATGTGTATATATATATATATGTACATGCTCATATATATATATACACATGTAGATGTATATATACATATAGTTGTATAAGTTGTACGCAAAAATCAAGATGTATATACGTATATGATGTATGTAAGATGAAGTCCCTGCAGGCAGTTGTGGATGAGACGCTTGCCACGTTCGACGCGAGGGGCAACGCCATGTTCCACGCAGACGCCAGCATGCATTATATGCATTCTGTGTGATGTTGGAGAACTTCTGGGTATCATGCGTCCTCGTTCTCCGTTGGGTATACAGTATATTTGTTTTGAAAAGTGTGTGTGTGTGTGTAATTATATATATGTGTGTATACAGATCCGTGCGGATTCTTCATTGTTTTTTCGATTCTTTGCGATGGCCTTGCGGAGTGTTCCGATGTGCTGTTTTCTAGCCACTCCAGATTACAAAGAGGCGATGCTTAGCTGGAAATCGTGTCAACCACAGGGTTTAGGGATTTGGGTTTAGGTTTAAAGGTTTAGGGTTCAGTATAGGGTTATAGGGTTATAGGGTTTAGGGTTTTAAGGGTTGCCAAGAGTCATGAGTGCGGAACATCAATGAATCCTCAACCGTCCTGGCAAGGATGATGAAAGCCTTCTGCCTGCCGCTGCTGATCGCCGGGAGGCACCCAGTTTACCGGATCACTAGGCCGGATCAACCGAGGGCTTCTCAAAAAGTCCCTCATTTCGTGCTTCTTGGGGTGTAGGGTTTAGGGGTTAGGGTTTAGGGGTGTAGGGTTTAGGGTTTAGGGTTTAGGGTTTAGGGTTTAGGGTTTAGGGATTGCCGCGGGAGCAAAGACAAAGGCTACCGTAGCGGTGGCAAGATTTTCCGTGGGTTTTTCCCTGATGATGCACGGATGCGCGCACACTGTTTGAGGAGCCCTCGCATTTCTTTCTCACGCACGTGAACAGACTCGGAAAGCGCTGGCAAAAGGAGCATGCGGAATGGGTTGCTACATGTTGGCATTTTGTTTCACAGGGCACTGTGCTCAGAATACCAGCCCATGGGGTGAGGCAAGGAATGACCGGGTTTACACCCTAAACCCTAAACCCTCAACCCCAAGGAATTGAGTGTCACTGAGTCTCAGTCTTGCGACAGACCCGCAGCCGCCATCCCCCGATGTGCTGCGCGGTAGCATGAGACAAGCTGCAGGACCTTCTGGATGGAACAGAAGCATATAGATTGAGCTGCCAAATACAGGTTCGTATCATTGACGGCGGATAGTGGTGCTGCATCCTATAAAGCTTAGCGCCGGGCGTGATGTTAAGGACGGGTCTACCACAGCTCTCCGAAACGGGCAACCAAGCCGCTATAGTAACAAAGCCCTGCATAAATCATCGCCATAGAGGCACAACCCTGAACCCCAAACCTGGACACGCCGACGACAACCTTGTGTGTTAGATTGTGCGAAACGAGCTGTGCGGATTCCCAGGGCCTTGGGCAACGACAATCGGAATCATATACCCTATACTTTGATCATTTCCTGTGGTACACATGCTGCTTGTGACATCTGGCCCCGGTTTGGAATTTGACTCGCCTTGGGGTCTGGCGTGGATTGGTGTTTCAGTAATGCAATGACGATTGGCGATTGTGTGTGTGTGTTGGTGTTTTCCAGTGTGATTCTTGCGAAGAAACTACCACAGCTCTAGCACTTTAAGATTTGGGGGTTTGAGGTTTCGATTTTGACTTCTGCCCATGCTGAGGTTGTTCTCTGCAAGGCTCAAGTCTGATTTCAGGCTTCCGCGGCGCTGGAGCACGACAGGAAGGATCCAAATAGATGATTTCAATGATGATGGCCTGAAGACCAGAACCGCTTGTTTTTAGAATCCCACTATCAGAGCAGGTTTGGGGTTGCTAAGGAAGGATGTAGGGTTTAGAGCCCAGACCCTGCTTTCTGATGCGCAGTGATGGTCCACCAGTGCCCGCAAGCTTCGTATCGGAAGATGGCTCCAGTGAAGGGGCCGCAACCGCCGAAACTGGCCCAACAGACCAAGTTGTAAGAGATGACCTTGTGGGACAGGCAAGCCGCTTGCAGTCCTTGCAGGCCTTGCGGGGGACTCCTGTTCCAGCGACGCAGCATGAAAGGCTGAAATCAACTCCGCAAAAGCCCAGGGGCCAAAAGAAATCAAAACGCGATGAGAAGGAGCTCAGTGTCGCTGAAAGCCCATTAACGGCCAAAGCGAAGTTTGTGGGTGTGCTTGCGGGGACCGTCTCAACGCGACCAAGGGGAGCATCAAGTGTTGGAACAGCTGCTGAGAGGAAGTACAAGGAAATGGCAGAGCAACGTGTCAAGGATATGCTGCTGTCTTGTGAGCGAGGAGATGTCCAGCAAGGCAAGGCATCAGCCCTGAAGCGAGGGGAAGTGGAGTTCAGTGGACTGGGAACTGGAGGACACCGCGCCCACTACATCATTGCTCCTGCTGAAATGGAAGACGCAGATGACATATTGCGATGGATGTTTGTTCGGCAGGATGGGTGGCGTCTGAATCCTCCGAATCTGTTGCTGTCCTGCTATGGCGGCAGAGATCACTATGTCAACTGGTCTCAGTCAGACACGCTGAGGAGTCGAAAAGCATGGGGAAGTGCAACCCCTGACGTATTTGGCGCCAGCAGCCACGCCGAAGCTCGTGCCAGCCGAATGCCTGCCGAGACTCGTGCCAGCCGCAGGCAGACAAGGAAAAAGCAGCCTGAGGATGCTTTGCCTCCTGATTCGGACGACTGGAAATTTAGAAGAAAGTTTAAGAGTCGGCTGAATGAGATTGCAGCTGGTGTTTGCCAAGCTGTCACCGAATGTGGCGGATGGTTCGATTTGGGCAGAGGGCAACGAGGCGGCTTGAATGAGGCAGGCTCCCTTGCATCCTGATGAACAAACCAAGTAGAACGGCATCTTCACTAAGTAGGTTCGTTGCAATGCGACAAGGAACGATATTTAGTGTTACATGCTCTGGGCGTGGAGTCTAAAATCTGGTCCAGGAACGGAGGTAGTGAGACGGCTTGGAAAATTGCGTTTTGAGGGCTAGCAAGGGAATCCCATGCAATCCCAGGTGTTGATGGACGGACTGAAAGTCTACTGGTCGGCGTTTGGTTGCCTTGCAGGTCACAAAGCCGAGTCTGTAGTACTCTGTGCACGCCTGTTGGACACTACTGAGTTTAAAGACGACTTTGTAGCCTGTGCAACGGATGTTGCTACCTATGGTCACCAAAAGCAACACAACAGTCTGCTGGAGCAGCGGGTGATTTACCCGTCAGTGAACGAGGTGTTGTTTCCCGAGCTTGGCCAATACGGAGGCAAGCTGGCTGATGAACAGGACCTTGAAGGTACGGGTATGGATGAAGATGATGATGGTGATGATGGCAGGTGTCGCAAGAGCAAGAGTGCTGAGGGCCTGTGTCAAGACGTCCGTGCCCATATTTCTCAGAGATTCCTCTGCAACGCGCTTACACATATTATTTTCGTTCAGAACCAGCAGGCACTTGACAGATTAAGACACAAGCTGCGTTCTCTGGCCACGCGGGCTACCATTTTCGCAAATGGCAATAAAGCCCTCATCGAGCCGGGAGTCGATGGGAAGATCTTGATGGAGGCTATGGCAGGCGTGCCAGTGGTCTGTCTTCACAACACAGGTGGTGCTGCTGAAATGCTGGGGGCATCCGTGCTGAAGAGGCGCCAGCCCAATCTGCCATTGGACATCTCGCAGTATAACTACGAGCTACCAGAGCATGTTCCTGATGACCAGTTCCTCATATTGAACCCTGCCAAAGACTCAGTCGAAAAAGTTATCAACAAACTGACGCTTGTTTTGTCGACGGTCCAGGACGACGAGATGATGGAAGTTGGCTACGCCAAGAGTGAAGAGAACCGTCTGCGCTATGCTTGGGAACAGCACCTGCTATACTCCTACAACGCAGCCATGTTCCGACGAAGGGCCAGGCTACTCCACTACACTGCTATGCTGCTGTCGGTTGTTGTCACAGTGGTGGCCACACTTTCTCAACAAAGTGAGAGAGCGCCGGATTGGTCCTTGCCTCAATCAGAGCTCAAAGTCTTGTTGTTAGTCTTGCCCTGCGTTAGTACATTCGTGCTGACCTCCATCAGCCGACTGAACCATGTCAACAAATGGGCGGCACTGGAAGGTGGCGCAGTGCATGTGAAAAGTGAAATCTATCAGTATCGCTGTCGCGTGCTTGATTATCAGCCCCGAAAGGCTGGTAACATGGACATTCAAGACCGGGTAGAGGACTTGTGCGATAAGCCTCTACTGGTATCCGATGATCCGACCGCTCTTGCAGAAGGAGCCAGGAAGAAGCGGAAGAGAGCTGACACATTTGCACCAAAAGGCATGAGCCGACGTTGCGCCTTTTCAGCAAACTTAGAGAGAATCAACTCTGATGCCACTGGGTCGGATGTGCGAGGAGACTACCTGGCAATGCCACCCGATTCAGCTATGGAAAACCTCCTGGGCTCTCTCTATGACTGGGCAAATGTGCGCGCACCTGCATCGCAACTACTCATACTGCACCTGGATTTGGAGTGTTGTTGGAGGGAGGTTGTGCTTTCGTAAGTCCGAAGCCTCTTTGAAAGATGAGGAAGAAGCAGAGGACGAGGAGACGGGAACGCCATGGATCAAAGTCGGCAGTGACTTCTACCAAAACCCCTACATCATCGAAGATGATTATCTCAAAGACGATGGAATTTCGCTAGTCACCGCTGAGGACTACATCCACTTCCGGTTCTTGCCCATGTTGCAGTATTACTCTCGGCGCAGCCGGCAACTATCTCGTGCAGTGCAGACTATCCAGGTTTCGATCTTCTTTCTGACAGGAGTTCTTGCTGCTGCCGGCCCCCTTGGCTACGATGTCTGGATTCCCGTTGTGGTTTCAATCACATTTTTTCTCGGCAGCATTCTCGAGTTCGAGGCTTTGTCATCTCAGCTCCGAAATGTCAATCAGTCCCTTGAATCACTGAAAAACTTGCAGTTTTGGTGGCAGAGCCTATCCATGGTTGAACGGCGAATGCCGTCAAACAAGAATGAGCTAGTTGCTTCGACCGAGGCAACGGCTGACAGTGAGATTTCCTCATGGAAAAAAACTCTTAAAACACTGAATGTGAACGCAACGAACCAAGCGGCGGGTGAGGATGCCGTGGACAACAATGATGATTAAGAAGTGAAATTCTGGGAGCCTGCAAAGCGGGCTGCCCGCAGGCTGCGTCCTTGCTCCATGTGATGCCGGCTGCCTGAACACAAGGCGGCAAAAGGCTAGACACTTGCAGAACTGTAAGCGCACAGCCCTCAAGGCCAAAAGGCGAGCTTCAATTGCCAAGCCTTTAATCTTGTATTCTCTAAATTTCGTATTCTCTAGGATATTCTAATATGTATTGATTCGGATGAATAGGAAGGTGATTGGAATAGTGGTTTTCGAGATGTTGGGCGGTTTGGAGGCGGAGGTGGTTCGTTTGTGCGAATCTCTCTACCAGGCGGTTGCTCATAAAATTCAGCAAATATCCCCATAAAAGGCTACGGGCTCGACTCCTATTTTCGCTCTGCGGCCGCCCCGTCGGATGCCCCGCCTCCTCTTCCGGTCCATGTGGCTGCTTGTGAGGGCCTTGCAGGGGGATCCTGAAAATTCCGGGAATTTTAACACTTTTTGTCTAAAAATCCTGGGAATTTTGGGAATCACCCGGAGCTGAAAATTCCCGGAATTTTAGGAATTGTCCGGATTGAGGTTTGGGCTTGCCGGGTTGGATTTAAGGTTCCACCGCAACAGTGATGACGTGGGTGCCCCTTCACCTTCAAGGAAATCTTCAAGGAAATCTCTTGGTCCAGGGTAGTTACGATGACGGTCGCCGCCCGCCAGCTGTTCAAGGGGGTTCGGCCTCACGATCACGTATCAGCAACAGCTCTCGAAAAATCCTAGGAATTTAAATTCCGGGAATTTTCGGGATCCCCCGGGTTCAGGGTTTTACGCTTTACGGTGTAGGGTTTTGGGGTTTAATAGAAATTGTATAGGGTTTGTGTCCGGAGTTTTGTCGTGTTTTGGGGGGTTTTGTTTTTTGCTTTTGCTGTAATGGTTTGGGTTCTGTCGGGTGTGGTGGGGGGTGGGTGGTTTTGGGGTGCTGAGGGGTTGGGGCTGAAAGGCTGGGGTTTTGGGGAGTTTTCCCGAATGCCCGTGGTGGTGGTCCCGTGGTGGTGGTCCGTGGTCCCGTGGTGTTCGTCGTGGTGGTCCCACAGCGTGGTGGTGGTCCCGTGGTGGTGGTGCTCCTTTGGTAGTGGTGGTCTGTCGTGGTGGTGGCGGTGTCCGTGGTGGTGGTGGTGGTGGTGGTCCCTTGTGGCCGTCGTGGTGGTCCCGTGGTGGTGGTCCCATGGTGGTGGCCGGGTGGTGGTCCGTGGCGGTGGTCCGCGGTGGTGGTCTCGTGGTGGTGGTTCCGTGGTGGTGGTCCTGTGGTGGTTGTCTCGTGGTGGTGGTTGCGTGGTGGTGGTTGCGTGGTGGTGGTCCCGTGGTGGTGGTCCCGTGGTGGTGGTCCGTGGTGGTTGGTCCGTGGTGGTGGTCAGTGGCGGGGGTCCGTGCGGGTGGTTGTGTTGGTGGTCGTGGTGGTGGTCTCGTGGTGGTGGTCTTGTGGTGGTGGTCTCGTGGTGGTGGTCTGGTGGTGGTCTCGTGGTGGGGGG